CGCCGGAGCTGGTGAGAACAGGTTGCCACTATGCTCTGATCAGACAGCCCGCCTGCCCTTGCCCGAGGCAATGGGGTTGCTTCCAAAGGAAGGCTGATTGTCAGGAGACATGCCAGGATTTCCCGCGACCTTCTCACGGTTTTTTCGGAGTCGAGTCCGGACCGGCAGCTTTATCTTTGGAAGGCTGCTTGTCTGGAGACGAGCCCATACTGCCGGCCTTCTCCTTCTTGGGAGTGTCCTGGGATCCTTCGGCGCCATTCTTCCCCTTCTTGCCATCCTGAAAAGAATATTGAAAAAAGGTGAATCAGTGATTGAGTAAAATGAAATGGTGACTAAAGTATGAGTATCTGTAAGGAAATACTGACTGATTCGAGTTTCTTGAGTTTGGCCTCTTCCTTCTGGAGAGTCTTCTTCAACTCGGCAATCTTTGCCTTTTGTTTAGTGATCTTCTGTAGGCGTTCCTGTTCCTTTTCCTCTGGGGTCTTTTTAGGCTTGTCTGTCTGAGGAGCTTTGCCGCCGTTATTCATGGGCGGGCTATTGGATACGTCTGCGGATGATGGGGTGGACGGAGTAGTTGGTGGGGTGGATGGATCGACCGGATTGTTGCCCGTGGGGTCGTCCCGAGGTGGGGAAGTGTCCGGCTTGGTCGAGCCTTTGGTCTTTGGCGCAACGCCCGGTGTCCCGGACGAAGTGGATTTTCCTGGGCTTTTGGGCGTCTTGGTCGGGGGCTTGGGATCAGTGGTCGGCAAGGATGTGTCGGTGCCGCCACCCGGTAAGCCGGCTTGTCTTCTAAATAATAATAACCTTCGACTCTGTGTCAAAAGAACAAACAACGTGAAGCAATGATCAGTTTGGTTGACTCCTCACTAGATCTGTCAAAGACATTGGCTGTCAGTATCTGAGACTGACCTGCATCCTTCCAACAGGTCTAACTTCGTCTGCAATCGTGTCCTGATCAAAATGATCAAGACCGAAGCCCATTGCGGACGTAGAGACAAGAAGAAGAACCAGCAGTTGGATTTTTTGGACTGGCATGGCGGTCGACGTGGACGGGGTAAGTGAGAAAAAGGTGGTATCAAAACGCAAAGCAAACAATCAATGTTTCACTTTCTACAGAGACTCTGTCTGCTTCGGGAAGATAACTCAGGCTACGCTGAGGGCTAGATGGATGATAAATTGCAGGAGATGACTATGAAAGTGTCAAAGTGAAGCGTTGAAGAAAGAACCCAGTTCCTGTGAAGAGTGTGATGGGACTTCTCCTCCAACCGGCATGTCGGCCGTTTTATATGCCAGAGGTCAGGCGGAGCAAGGGCCTCCGATGACACCAAGTCAGCGCAAATTTTCATCTAGCAAATGCTGTTGTCTATCCATTAGCATCCGCGACAGGATGTTGTCATGAGCTAACCCTGCTAACCGATGACAGAAAAGGGATAACTATTCCCTGGATCCTACGAAACCCCATCATGAAAGCATGTTGTGCCTGCATGAGTAGCTTTCTGCTTTCAACATATGATCCCCTCGCCGGCTACTTTTACAGCTCCTGGAGAGGGTACATTACCATACAACTCTCTAGGATGTGATCCCTTGAAGTTAAGGCACAACGGGAGAATTGGGTGTACGCGAGCATCCTGCCAAGCCAACCCAAAGGCAAAAGCGGGAACAGTGCTATCGCAGGTACATGTCAATCGACGGGTAACCCTCCAGAAAAAACAGGGGTATTGATGGTATGGCCAAGGCGCTATCCTTGAAGGAGACTCATAGAGACCGTCGATCGGGAAAAACAAACCCCAACAAAGCAGGGCAGACATGAAAGTCATACATTTCCGAAGCTGTCTTAGAGAATGGAGACTGCTGACCATCGTCGATAGGCCACACGGGCAAGATATCGGATTTATTGATTTTCACGCTGTAATCGGAAATGGGGAAGAGAAAAAGACACACATCGATTGACCAAGCAGGAAACACATCTCAGTAGAAATGAAACATAAAATACAACACATATAACGGAGTAATATCCCAGAAACAAAACGCTCTCAGGTGGTAGCTGGGTTATCAGAACAACGTGCGTCGGCACGTTGTTCTGGTTTCAAGCTTAGCAAAAAGAAAAAAGACAGAAAAAGTTGAGTGGTTTGCAATCTATCCAAGCTTAGACTCGTGTATCCATTCATTCACTGCTCCCAGGAAGGGTCCGGGACGCCTTCGTAGATGAAGCGATCTAAGATGGTGGTTAGATTTGAAACCGAGTCGAGCTTCCACCCAGCACTCTTGAAGATGTCGTCGAAATCTTGCTTGCTACGCTCCTCCGCGTTGAAGACAGTCATCATCGACAGGCAGTATGTGTGGGATAAGGACGCCGCCATCCCACCGTTGGAAAGAATCGGCGATTGTTGGTCAATCAGTGGCGGCTCGACCCCAGTCTCAGCAATCAACAACCGGGTCGTCGGCTTTGCGGCTCTCCGTAAATGGGTCAATATTTCTACGCAGGCCTTGGCGCTGGAAAATCCCGGTCGATGGTCAATATTTGATCGAGCTAAAACTTCTCTAGAGATTCCCACGTATCCTACTCACGGCCAATCATGTAGAATGTGTCGCAGGAAGTAGGCATCTGCTCCCTGGACCCTATGAGCCGGTTGGGCCTTTAGGAAGTCGACTTCCTCGAATTCTAGGTTAGCCGTTGAGCCTATTTTCTGGTAGTTCTAGAATTTTATGATCGTATTTAATTAGATGGGCATATACCGGTAAGTTGTGTATAATTGCATCGGACGACTACAAGAGCGCTGGCACGCAATAAGGCAGAAGCCAACTTACTTCTTTTCCACTTTTGGCTACCTCTGCGCGGTCTTGCACAACTATCTTCCATCCGGGAAGATAATTTGCAATAGCATAAGCAGGTCCACCGATCCCACCCCCAACATCGATCAGGGTCCCATTCGCCCCGAGTTTCTTCCAATCATAACCTTTGTAATGTGCATCCCCAGTGCCGCAAGACCTGGACAACTCGATCTATTGCCCCATGATTATCGGGTAAAGTATTCATCATGGTCAGCTCCAAATCCGGGGAATGGGAGAATTCGCTATGTATACTTAGACCCCAAGGCGGACGTCAAGGGAGATCGGCGGGAGTTTCTGACATACCATAGTTTTTCCGAACCTTTCAGCTCGATAACCATCCTTAGATTTCGCTAGAAAATCAAAAAAATCACACCCGGGCTCGTAATATTTTTGGAATGCACTCTTTTTGTGATCCCAGCTGAGAGCCCGACCACCCTCCTTGTCCAGCAAGACCTCGGGGAGCTCAACCAGAGCAGGCAAAGCAATTTCTTCCCTGAGATGACCGAGGGCGTTCCAGATAGTGTTGGGCGAGTCCGTTCGTAGAGGGAAAGAGCATCGATTGTTTGCCCAATAGCCTGGCTTCAATTCACAAAAGACATTGCGGAGTGCGAGGAAACGCAAGATGTGAGAGAGCTTTCGGGGATCCATGCCGGCATTTTCGGCAAGCACTGCGACATGCACGCCTCCCTTACTCGAATCTGGGTCGATGGAGTGGATCAGGTCGGCGATCCGGGCCCGCACGACCGTGTCAAGCGCGGCGGTCTGGTGAAAGGAGTAATGTAGCTCCTGGACGTGCAAGCCCACCGGCATCAGAGTGGCCAATAACTGGTGGGTGGCCGCCTTCAAAGTCCTTAAAGCTGTGCGGCGTTGCGGAGTCGCCTCGAGGTTATCCTCAGCTGCCACCGTGGGCAAATTGATATTGGTCGTCTTACCGCCGGGTATTTGTGCCGCCGTGTCGGCTTCAATGTCTTTGACTGCTTGAAGAATCATTTCGGCGAGCTGTTGTGCTTCTGAGACAGACATCTTGCTTGCGGGCAAACGATGCAAAAGAATCAGACGGGATGTAGTAAAGCTTCGAAAGTGTTGCTTGGAATCAGCTGTTTATTCCAAGTGTCGGAAGAAGAGTCTCCAGTTGGTTAAGGGACTAACTTAACCAAGTCCCTCTGTGGGAGGGGGGACGCCGTCCCGAAGGGACCCTCCGCAGGAGGGACTTATGAGCTAAGTCGACCCTCTCGCCCAAGAGGATTAAAAAAATCGATCTCTTTTTTTAATCCTTTCTCCTGTGTCTATCTATCGGTCTCCAGGTACAAAGTCACCCACCGATAGGAGGGGCTTTTCGGGCAGATTCTTTTGATCACACTTTCAGTTTTGTGAGGTGACTTCGCTCTTGTCCACCTTAGCTTTTTCACTTTCATCTCTCAAAAGCGATTTTGAGGTTGAACCTGTATTCAATGCCACACATCAGGTATACAGGAGCCTTTCAATTAAATACTGTTTTGTATGCACATATTCAAGCTGGCTACATTGCCACAAGACCGACAAAATGCTGCATACAGATTAAGAGCTTGGAAGAAGCGGGAAGCTGTTCTTAACCCATAAGAAATATTCCAAGGATCAAGAAAGGCTGGCACTTGGATTGGCTCCCAACATGTTAACTTGATTCCAATGTGAAGTGGTGGCAATCAAGGGGATGGTTGGACCATACATATTGTGAAGACTAGATGGAAATTGGGGCACAAATGAGCTGTGGAGGCGAGTTATAAAAAAGTCACCAGCCAAACTCTTAATCCTCTTGAGCCGCGGGGGCGACATAGCCCGTAAGTCCCTCCGGCAAGCCATCGGATCAACTGCCAGGAGGGACTTAGTTAAGTTAGGTTAAGGGACCATTCACACCTACAGCTCCCGGGCACTCCTTAAATAGACTCCCCTGATTTCAATTTCAAATAAATATAAAGTCTCCAGAGGTTTCTCACCCTCATTAATGTGGCGGCTGTAGCGATCAGAAGCTGAGGACAACTTGCACGGGTGTGCACTGCTCGCTGGGCCATCAAATTTAAATCCGGCCGCCGGTACACTCGAGATGAGCCATGATCAACGGGAAAGAAGCAGCAAATCAAGATAGTTGAGTACATGTTCGACCTTGGCTTCAGGACCACAGACCGGTAGTAACGGGCATGCGCGACGTAAACAGCATGACCATGCGTATCTCCTGACTGCGGGTGTGGGGAAATGCCTGAGCGCCTGTGACAGGTGAGGGCAGACCTGTTGCTGTGAGCAGTGAACGGGTCGATTGAGCTCGGCCCCGGCCCCCGGGCGACTTGAGCCGACGAATGCGTTAATGCTGTGCCGAATCACTCTGGGACTCTCCAGGTCCAATCCAACTATTCGCCTGATGTCGACCTTCAATAGCAATCTCAATGTCCAGGGGACCTCTTTCAACATCGCCTTGATTCAACTTGGAGGAATTGGGGCAGATAAACCAGCCAACTTGACAAAAGCCCGGGCGAAGATCGCTGATGCCGTGCGTGGAAACGATCCGGCGCGAAAGCCGCAAGTGGTCGTCCTGCCAGAAATCTTCAACAGCCCCTATGGCTCAGGCTACTTTGATAAGTATGCCGAGGTGATCGGATGGCATGAATCGAAGGGCGCAGATTGGGACGTCAACAAGTGTGAGAGTCCGAGTATCAAGATGCTCAGCTCAGCCGCCAAGGAGGAGCAGGTTTGGTTGTTTGGTGGTTAGTCTGCACACCCTACGTTATGTGATGAAAGATTCAGAGAATTGTTCTGACGTGCGGCTTTTTTGGTTTTGATAGGATCGATCCCTGAGAGAAGTCCACATGATCCAAAGATCCTTTACAATTCCGCACCCGTCTTCCAACCGGATGGGAAACTGGTTGCCTTACATCGCAAGCTACATTTATTCGATATCGATATCCCCAACAAAATCACTTTCAAAGAGAGCGAGACCCTATCAGCTGGTCAAGACCCGGTCACCATAGTCGAAACTCGTAAATCATGTTTTTATTCTACTCTTTTTCTTCTTTTGATTCATCTGACTTCTTATTACCAAGAAGGAGCACTGTTCTTGATCATATCTGTTTTAGATTGCAGCTTTTGGGAAAATTGGACTAGGAATTTGCTATGATATTCGTTTCCCAGAAATGGCGATGATTGCTGCACGCCGAGGTCTGTCCAAAGTCAACAAATATGATTTTCCTGACGAAATGGATTGCTAACTGCTCTCTCTTGTGATCGACAGGCTGCATCGCTATGATCTATCCTGGAGCTTTTAATCTCACAACGGGCCCATTGCACTGGGAGTTACTCCAAAGGGCACGGTGGGACTTTTCTTATTCTTAAATTAAATGACATGCTCGCTAACGCCACACTTCTACCTATCAGGGCGGTTGATAATCTGATTTATGTGTCAGCATGCTCACCAGCGCGTAATCCTTCAAGTGAATACCAAGCTTGGGGACACTCAAGCATCGTTGATCCCATGTTAGTAGCATCGAAATCCTCTCCGATTACTTACGATCAAATAGGCTGACAGTACCATGCGCGTGATGGGAACTACTGAAGGGGTCTGGTGAAAGCCACCTGCGATGAAACAGAGTCCATCATACATGGTAGGATTGATATCGATGAGCTTATCGCAGCACGAAAAGGTTTGCCCGTCACTACCCAGAGGCGCTTCGACGTGTACCCGGATGTTTCCAAACCTCTATAGAAACCGAAACAATGATATTCATCTGTGGAACATGTCCATTGAGGACAAAACTAGTATGGCTTGGGCAAGTGGCACTCCGGCCCATTTTTTCTTGTATTCCTGCTCATCCAATTACGATAGGACATCTGTGTTATCATCTTTTGTAAACCCAGAAATGACAAATCACAAGTGCACGGAAAAAATTCACTCTCAAGGTGTGTGTCGTAAGATGAGTAGCCTACTCACAAGCCCATAAGCCAAGGCGTTGCATACTAAATCAATTTTTCGAATGAATTACAATAAGCGTCTAATAGTATATGTGGGCGCGTACAAAATGCTTTAAGGATAAAGGAGTAAATTAAAGAGCTTGTGGTATTGATACAACAATAAATAAATTAAATATTAGAAGGGATCCCAAATGTACTTCTTACAATATGCGTGACATCAGTTACAAGTATTGAAGCAGGTCCAATGTGCAGTGGTATGAAGAATGATGTCGTTATATCGGAAGTTTTCCCAGCTTCCTGCAGGCTTCCACCACGCTCATGTGATGTTTGTTGTCTCGTATTGCTGTTCCAAAATAATCGGGATCTGGTCAGAACACGTGACGATGAAAGTTTTATGAGACAGGCTGGAAGGGAACCTACTTGGATCTGTCAGATCACAAACGGGAAGGTTGAATAAACAATCAGAAGACGTGTCGTAAGGTTGCGTCCTACGGAAGAATTAAATATCAAACAAAAATGGAAAGGAGATCAATTCGGTTGGCTGGTGCTTTCCTCCTTGGCAAATTGGATTGCGGTTCGAGCAACTTGTACTCACGTGTTCACAACTGTAGGATGCCTATAGACACCATATTTTTGTTGACATCTCCAGGCGGTCGTTGTGAGCAACTCGGTCGAAAGGCCATACTTTTCGGCTACCATACCGGCATTGTAGACTGGCTCTTCTCGATTCTTAGCGCCTGCTAATACAATGTTCATCATTCTGTAATGTTAAGCAAATATGACACTTTCAGCAAAGGTTATGAAGCAAAAACGATACAATTAAACAGATACCGTTTGAGTTTAACCTACATTCCTTCATTGTCACAGTATGAGAGTTTTCCAGCTTCAGTTAGTGCCCCATTCGGCCCATCACCATTACACGGTTGCTATAAACCCAAAAGAAACACGTGACAAGGAAGTCAGTACAGAGGCCAATTACCATAGGTGAAAAGAAGAATGGAAGGTTGGATCGGTTGACTTACACTTCCTCTGGTGACAAATGCATTCTGCAAAAGATGAGAGCGCAAAAACATACGAGATTTCAGTCAAAGAAGAAAAACGCAAGATAATCTCCACAGATTTATGCATATTGATTTACCTGAATTCTAAGGATATGTGAAAGTGATCTGAGTTTGAGGGTTTGTTCAAGATCACTCTGGATTTCACTTTCTGTTCGAAACTGGACGTCGTCAAATAAGTTTCCGTCTTTGCTGATCCCATATAGTCCTTGCTGAGTGCTGATGCCCGAGTCGATTACACTCTGGGTGAAATTTGATAAAGCTCCTTGCATATGGTTCTCAAAATCTTGTAAGCGATAGATTACTTCAGACCACTGTAGATAGAAACCAACCATTTCGAATAAGATTCTGATCAATGCCGCTTTATCAAACGCGAGAGGAACATCCAGACTGACTCTGGTGAATTTTTGAGGATCTGGTATATATAAATTTGCAACAACCCAGACGGCAGCCGAGCTTACAAACATGGTGGACATCATGACCATCCAGATGACTGATCCCACGCCGGGTCCGAAGAGTGCAGCCGGCGTACCAGTGATCCAGGCCGTCAAGATCCCAACATATACCGCCGCGAAGTTCCAAAAGTTCGTAGCATCAGGAATCAGGTCATCTACCTAAAACGCGTTGATCAAACAAGATTTTTTGCTCTCAGCAACTCAAGTCCCGGGAATTTTTCAAGGTGGAATCTCATTCTTACCATGGTAGGACTGAGGTCTGAAAGAACATAACGAGAAGGAAAATTTAGAATTCGTTCTTTTGCTTTTTTCCTTAGAAAAGTTTGTCTGATAAAATAAACTCACCTGATACAACGCCTAAAGCGTAAGCGGTGGCCTCGTATATTTGATTTACAAAAGTGTTGAACCTATGAGCTGCCGCCAGTGCATACCAGTCTTGTTGTTTTATTCCTAGACACGTCTGGAGGCCAGAATCACAGGAGGAGGAGAAATCAAAATCAAATCACTTCTATTGACCAGACAACAGTAGTCCCTCAACACACCTGTGACGGGTTACAATCATTCCCAATACCGCAATAAAAATTCGTTGCTCCAACTTTATCCGCGTAATCCTATTGTTTTTTTTTTTTTTGCGTGCCAAAGTTCAGAGAAGATAATCAATACATGGGCAAAATGGAAATGATTTATTGAAGTCGAAAGGCAATAATACGTACCGAAAGTGATAGATTCAATCCACCTGGATATTTTTGCAGATGCTGATCCATTCCCATCTTGTTCCATAACTGTTTTGTCAGAGGATCTTTCAGACAGCCATCCAAGTTTGATTGACGAGTTAAGTTCAACCTGGGAAGCGAAGCCGGTCGGAGGTTTTGATGAACTGTCGTCTGGTTATTGACTTGATGGTTTGGTTGGAGATGGGGTAAGGAGTGAGATTGGGATACAAGGCTGGCCCCAAGAAATACAAATTTCCAATTGCAAAGACCCATAAAAATTCGAACTGATGATTCTTGCGTGGGGAATACAAGTATTGGAAGGCTCTACTACAAAAGGAAAGGAAGGACGATGAATTATGAGACACTGAAAGGTTAAAGCGCAGGAGGAATGGCTAGTCGACGCAATGAGGTATGAAAGCAAGCACATTGTGCAGTAGATATATACATCTTCGATTACCCTTGTTCTTATCCAGAGTTCCAGTCTCCACGAACTCCATCTGGCAAGCAGTCTGAGTACAACTTGATAAGATTTGGATACACCATTGAATACAGCTCTGGGCTTCGCGAGACATCTCGGGTGCGATGGGCAGTTTCATTTCTCACCTTTGTAGGGAAGGGCCTTATCTTGACCCATCTGCTGAGGTGGCCTTATGCTTATCTGAAGCTCGATAGCAGTCTCGCCCAAACGGATTCGAGTATTCTTATCATCTTGATAAGATTTGGATACATCTTTGGATACACCTGCTGGTCTTGCCGAAACATCGCCGGGGCAATGGTGAGTTTCACTTCTATAATATAATCCGTCTATTCACAAACATTTGTGCTTATCTTGAAGCTCAATCGCAATCTCGCTCAAACTCAGCAGTCAACCAGATCCCCTCCATGAGCGCTTTCCTGGTACACCTTGAGCTCGTCTTTCAATCGCAGCATGATAAAGCATGCACTCACAACCTGTAGATACAGGGTCCTCTACTTTTCTCAATCATGAACCCATATTGATCACTATCAAGTCCGCACTGGTGCTAGCTGATGATCAAGTCCAACTCATATTTGAAGGCATTTTTGGTATAAAATTGACAATGTTATATTTACATAATTCACAAGCCGCTTTGATCCGGGTTACGATAATACAAACGGTCTATCGTCTTGATTACTTAAACATCCCCTTCACATGGATTCCCTATCAAATGCCAATTTACAACAAGATAAGCAAGTCTCCCTCTTTCCAAATCTGAATCCCGGTGCGGACCGGTGCTCGACTTGATTGATAAATTCACCGGGTGTTTCGGCTCCCAATACCATCCGTATTGACGCGCAACTGCTTGTGCTTGTGGGGAGGTCTTATCAAGCAGGTAGTTTGCCCGCATGTTTTTAGCAGCGCAAGTCCTCCAAGCTCCTACCATTTGATCGACGCCGTGTTGAAATAAGTTAGCTTCTACAACTCGCGCACATATAAATAATTTGATTGGCCGACCTAGTATGAAGCTCCTCTGATTCGGAGGTCTGCGGAGCCGGCGCTAGTGGCAGAGGGAAGAGGGCGCGCAGGGCCGAAGCAGAGCTGCTTTGGATCGCTTTGGAGTGCAACGGTTTATTTGATCGGATCGCTGGTACAAGACTGCACCGAACATAGTGCCCCACAAAAGGCATTCTTGAAGCTAGTATTTCGTGACCTTTCCCCACCGCAGCCCGCTGCAATCTGAGGATGAATCTATAAGTCCATAAGCTAGTAGAGTGTCTCGAATTCCGCGATGGAAATTTGCTGGCAGATCATTCACCTGGTTTTCTTCACATTTTCTGGCTATCTGATTCTCACCGCCATGGGAATTACATCACTTGGAGTCCTATGTTTCTTCTTTTCAGATAGTGAGATAGTGCCACAGGAGGAAGTAAAATATTCAATTCATGATGAGTTTCTATTTAACTGGCCAAGTGCGGGTGCTTAAAGTTAACTTGTATTTAAATAGCTTGCAAGGACAAGCCAATCAGTTCACCTATTGATTGGGACCAAAAATAATTCCCAATCAAAAGGAAACTAAGTGTCTCTACCACAACCCCAATTTTGAGGGCAACTTCCAATTTTCACGTTGGGAATTGGCCCCGCTGGAAATTGTGTACCCTGCACACCCAATTTCGCACACTACAGAAGCCGGATTTTCAGTGTCAACCTAACTCTCAACATTAATTTATATCCCGTACTGGATATGCAGTAAAATGAAACTGGATATGCTGTTTTTTCACTTCACACTATTTTAACAAAAAAAAAAGAAAAAATACTGCATATCCAGTACTGTATATGAAGTACTGTTGAAAGTTCCTCAAAATGAATTTTGGTTGAAGAAAAGTACCAAGATCAAAAATGAAAATGAAAATTGGCTGGGGTGCTATGGGCCCTTAAGCAACTGCAAAATGCTTCTTTTCAGATCAGGTTGAACACAAATGAAACTTTGTGGCAAGTAGCTCAACTTCAACATTGATGTAAAAATACAAAAAATCACATTCAGAACTGTCTTGATGCTTGCTTATAATTTACATTTAATGAAGTTTATAGGTAAAATGATACAATTCTTATGAAGTTATGATGATACCAAGTTGACTTTTCCAATCATACTCTTTCAGAGAGAAATCATATGTGAAAGTATTGTGGAAAGGAATGTGGAAATAGGACTTAGGACACCAATGAAATTTCTTGTTTGATTTCTTGGCTTTTGTTTCAGGCGAAACCGCACTGACGCGCCACCCCCCGGGGGTAGATCATCCACACACAGGGGCAAGCTGCTTCACAGCACGGGAACCAGGAAGCTATCGACCGGATCACTATATTCGACCATCAAAATCAACAGCAAGACCACGAGCAAGACAAAAACAAACAGACTTAGAACAACAAAAAAAACGAAGAGCCTTCGAACAAACTGAAACAGGAATGTCAAAACTCGAGATCTCACTGGAATACGCAAGCTTACGATTGCCTGGTCATTGTCCTCTGGGCGTCTGGGTTATCCCTTCTCCTGATGATATCCACCGTTAGTTCCTCTTCTTCTGGGAACCCCACCCTATCCGCCATTTTTCTATCTTTATCCTGATCATATTTCAGACTGACCCGATCGTGCCTTTTTTTTCACGGTTGTGCCGCTAAAAACCGATTGTTGAAACAATGACCAACAACCGCTCGATGGATTCGTGTGCTTGACTACATTTTTTTTTTCTAAACAAAAACGACGTAGATTGGTGCGGCACATTATTTATACATAGAGGATACTATGCGGGAGGGATTTATAAATTTACGATCAACTTCTCACGAAACTATCCATTTGACCAACAAACGCCTCAGATCAACTTCCAGACAGATTGTTTTCATCCTTTAATCGATCAAGCCAACCACGGTCTCTTCAACCTCTCCCTGAAATTCCCACAATGGCTCCCTCACGAGAACTTTATCTGCAATCTACTTTATTACTTGAAGTCTTGTTTCAAGAGGCCTGGTTTGGAATCTATTATCGCGTCTGGTGACGATTCGATAGCCTTCAATAAACATGCCTTCAGGTCCGTCCTCTTCCTTCTTCTGCTCCTATTCCACGGTCTCTGACGGTTTTGTTGCTTGACAACAGGCTATATCGAGATCAAACCGACGTCTTTGCAACACTTGCAGCACAGTCATCGAGCCTCTCAAGTTCTCCAACAAGTCTCTATGATCAACCTTCAAGCTCCTTACAGCAATCAATTCCTACCTCTTCACAGAATGAGGACCCAAAGAAACTTGGCTCGAAGGATAACGGAGAGTCAAGATCAAACTCAGCTAACAAATCTAAACATCTGATCAAATTCGATCCTCTCGATGACGATCAATTCAAGCAATTAAGACAAAAGATCTTCTTGGAATTTTAGTTTTACTTCTTCCTCCTCTCAGATTTCAAACTCTTGTTGTCCGCATCAAAATGAGCAAAAAAAGAATGTTCAGCTGCATCTCTGACTAGATTTCTGGTTTATAGTGTGTACAAATTTTTGCCCTTGTTCTCGTCTTCTCTTCCAGTGTACGTAAATCGTGACTTATTTTTTCTCGCTATCTTGTCTTGCTTCTCACTAAGGATTGAAAAAAAAAATGTAGAAAGGTGATTTGAATTCAAGCGGACCGTCCCTTAGAATTAAATTGAGGAAGTGCATCCGGACGGCAATCTGATTGGAAGATATCAAGAGAAGCCAGTGTCAATTCCTACATGCTGATGGGAAGCAGGCCATAGAAGTTTCAACTGGAACCATGTTCATCACTTTATGTACCCTGCCATTGCCCCCCCGGTCTCACTACATACTTTCCCCGGATGGTACCCGAACCAGCTGATGCCAACCCCGAGCCGTTTTCTGAGTCGGAGGGGAAGCTCAGGACATTTGACCATCACGATGACCACCACTTCATCAGCAGGAAACAAAGGACAATTACCAGACCCATCAACATGGGTTCCATTGAAATCGTTGAGTATCTTCAGCATCATTTCTGATCAAAACCCCCACCAAGAAAGCCAATTCAAAAGACTAACACAAACCACATGGGATGATGCATGAAAATTGATTCGAAACAGAAAGTTCAACGATCGCTCCAGCTTGCATTGGACCTCGATCTATAGAGCTGAACTGGACCCTCATCAGCACTCTGAACTATCCGACCGCCTGGCGAGCCTAGTCTCGACAAGCTCGCCATCATCATGCACAAGAAAAGCTGATCAGGATAACCCACCACTACTCACCAAATCGATTGCAATCAAAATCGTCTCTCCTCAGTTGAATCGCCCGCCGCATGACACTCTGACCGAAATCAAAACTTTATCCTCTTTGGACCATCCAAACGTGAGCAAATTCTCAGTTCAAGGTTTGCAAAAACGGGTTCAAAGGAAATTGCTAAAATATTTTTTTGTTCAAAAAGATCGTGCCTCTGCTAGCGCATTGGGAGCCACCCGAGCATGTCAATTACTGTCTCTTCATACCGCTCTATCCACTAAGCTTGTACGACCTTCTGAATGCACAGAAGAAGCCCTTCGATCCGGCGAACTATAGCGGCTTTGACGTCCTTACTCGACGGATAGTCCGCGACGTGGGCGTCGGGTTGAGTTTTCTACACGACCGATCGCTCGCCCATCGGGACATCAATCCGACTAACGTCGTCTTAACCGCTCAGGGCCATGCCGTCCTCATCGATTTCGGCACCGTATGGCCAGGCTATCCATCTCCAGAATCAGAGTCATTGGAATTCGAACTCGGAACGATGTGAATAGGTTCTTGTCCCCCCCTCTTGCCCATTTGGCCCACCCCAAGTATTGCAATTCTTTACAGTCGATTAAATTGATCGATAATTTCTGCCCCCTTTATTTCTTTAGGCCCTATCGACCACCGGAATTGTTGTTTGGCAGTCGGTCGTATTCGCCATTCGCGCTAGATATCTGGTCATTTGGCGCGTTAATTGCCGAGTTTTACACGCCGATGGAACGCTCGGAGGATGAGTCAATTTCTCGAGACTCAACCCCACCCACTACAGATAACCGAGGGTTAAGGACAGGAACTGTGATGGATTGGTACTCTACTAGTGACCTCACCGATCCATCGTCTGCTGTTCAAGAATGTGCTCAGACAGGCCCAGTCATTCGTAAAACTCTTTTCGAAGGGTCCATCGGTGATATTGGACTGGCCGGTAGTATTTTCAAGATCCTCGGAACTCCCGATTCAACTACTTGGCCAGTTGAGTCATTTTTCTTTCATTTGAAACCATTCTGACCATCAAAAACTGATTTGCTTTCGGGTGGATGACTTGGACTGGATACATAGGAAGCCAAACGGTTACCGGATTTCTCGAAGTTGAATTTCCATGCATTCCCCAAACAAGACATCAGAGATTATTTACCGAATCTGAGGTTTACTCTAGATTTGCTTGAGGAGAAACTGGCAATTTTAGCTGGACAAGAAGCAGAGGAGGTACGCCATCAGATCGAAGTAGAGAGACGCGAAATCGAGGAAAAAGTGAGGATGATCGAGGGCTTTTTGAGCTACGAGTCGACGGACAGGATCGGCTCTTTCCGTCACATCTTCTCGTCCCCAGAACGTAACTCTAGTGAGAGTAATGATCATTCTGATTCTTGGGTCTGGAAAGCAATCACCAATGAGGATCAGATCTGTCAAGACACTTTGGATTGGTTTTTCTCAAATGAATCCGATAGTTGAATTTAACCGGTTTCTACATCTTGTTTTCTATTTCTTCTGTGGGATTTATTTCAGGATGCTCATACAATACCTTCTGGGCGAATGTCAACACTAATTATCCAAGCGTGTGTTTATTTGCTTCTGGTCTTTGTTTAGCCAACAAAGCACAGATCAGTAAAATGTGAAATATTTATCTACCCTGAACGATTATGTTTCACTCAAGTTGAAAAGTTCACTGATCCCAAATACCTTGTCTGGGTTATCGTCCGCAGTGAGGTCGGTATTGGCGGTGTCATGGTGTCAAACTGCGACGTTGCCGGGATGTTCGAGTGCTATTTATGAGGAAAAGTGAGAGAACCAGTCTTCTGTGCAGGAGTCGATCGTGCCTTGATGGGCTCAGTAAGGAGTACTAGCTGCGCCCAACGACTGCTGGAAATATGTTGGTCAAACTAGATCCCATACTGTGATTTGAGCTCCATAGACAGCTTGACTGATAATAAAAACGTAATGGCTGATGGGGACAAGGAAATGAAACACTCATAGATCAAGAGATCTAAGTGAAGAGGCGTCTCAAACGCACCGAGAAAACATTCAGCCTCTCAGAAACCAGTTCCTGTTGTGTGACCCTGCTACGTAAACTTTAGGAATACAACTCCTCATCCCTCCAGAAAAAATGCTTCTATCTTCAGTAAGCTATCATCTTCTCTTACAAGCGACAAGTTACACGGCCCTCAAAGTGGCAGCTCTACCAAGCCCTACCCCAACAAAAAGCGAAGTCTTTTCGCTTTGGGATCATGGGTTTGTGGACCTACTCCAACCATGCTCGCACACTGGGTATTTGGATATTTTGGGAGAAGAAAATCACCAAAAACGTCCATTGGAAGACGGGACATCCGTCTTCGAACAAAATCCTCACTCATCATCGGCTGCCAATCAAGCAGCTGAAATTCCTAATCCAATCACTCCGCAAGAAGCTAGACTTTTTCCGAGACCACTCAAGAGACAACGGGAGAGTCCGGCGGATTTATTTGATAACTGGAGTGCAAGTGTTACTTCTTCGGCGGACTCTGTCCAATACAATCACAACTTGAAGATGAACCAGGACTTGCAAGGTAAGACAGACAACTATTCTCAGCTATGTGGAATTCCAAAGTAGCTGGTTTTGGTTTTTGACAAGCATAACTTGATTAGGATCGAGTGACCAGCACCATCTAGCAAGTCTATCCAAGCATGATAACATCATGGGCTTAGGAGAATCATTGCTCCAAGGACCACCGTGTGTTGGACTTTGCCTCGAGAATCTAGGAGGCTTGCATTGTAATAAATGGTCAACTGGCGCACCATCTTCATCACACAACATAGGCTCAGACAGCTGCTCTTATCATCAAAACTACTGGTCACCAATTGACATCAATCCAGAAAGCCTTGATAATTATTCAAGTTCGATATTGTTGAACCAGAGCCACTTGGGATCTACTTCAAGACCTGAAGGGCGACAGAATGAAAACCCCGATCATTCTTTTGATAGCCACATATGGGACGGGTTTCTTTTAAGAAACGAAGCTCCACTTTACTCAACAATGGGTATGGATTCTGAACGCACCCTGCAGGGTGAAGGTAAGATGTAATTATCTTTCCTGAAAAAAAAGTCTCATCTGATAATTGGCTTCAATGGCTCAAATTTTGTCTGTATTAGGATCCATCGCACCTTTTCATCAACCAAACTGCTTACAGAATGATGGGATATTTGGTATCTCAAATCATGGCCCAGAGGGGAATTCTCTTCCATCAAATCACTTGAGTGTGGAATTGGAACAAATTGTGCAGGGTAAACCATGCAGAACTTCTCCACATACTAATACTATGAACAGTGTTATTGTGGTGTAATCCTCCAACTGAAATTCCCTCTTTTCTTTAGGTTTGAATACACCAGATTACAATACAGTTTCTTCACATGATGTTGGAAAAGAGGATTTCATATCTAAAAGCTGGAAACAACTTTTTTCAGGGAACATAAATATTCCGCCCAATCACCTGGGAATGAACTTTGATCCTACCTTGATGAGTAAATATAATTTCTCTTTCTAGGAAATTCATCACAATTTTTAAGTCTAATGTTTTTTCTTTACACAATCTGGTATCTATTAGATCTCTATGAACACTATCTTCAAGAAGATTTTCCAAAGTATAGTAACATCCAACACCCAGAAGCATTGCATAATTCAAATTTTAATCATCAACCAGTCGATGAAACTATCTTGGACTATCATGAGGAATTCAAAGAGGAGAGAAAAAATGAGTCAAATTACACCTCACATATCAGATCAGATCCCAATAAAAATAATAATCTTGATCTAGGATCAACAAACTCAAATGTTCAAGAAAATGAAACTTTAGAAGAAAATGCCACAGATCTTATAAGCACTCCACCAATTCCTGAAACAATTAGTGATGAGCATTCAAAACATTCTATAGACCCAGAAATTATTAGACCACAAACAGAGCTTGGTAGGAATGACAGTAAGTGACTGTTCTACATTGATCAGGAGTGTATAAGAGACCCATGATAAATTATTTGGGATTAGTAACTAATAATATCACCAATTTTATGTTTGCAGCTGGCTCACATGATGAAACAATAGGTGATCAGAATAATGAGACAACTGATTCAAAAGATGAAATGGATTCTGGAAACAGTTCTCTATCAAAAAATCATCCAAGCACAAATAAAATAAGTGATCATAGATACCATGAAAGAGAATTCAGCACCATTAAAAAACCAGAGACTCCACAAGTGTATGATGAAAACATTGAGATCAATGAACCAGTTGAGCAAATTCAGAATGTCGATCAAACTAAAAACAAGTTAGGAGATTTGGAAATACCCAATCTAAATATTTTTCCAAACCAACTGAAGCCTTTTCAGCGTGGTTCATCTTCACTACCCCACAAGGAAGATACTATTGACCAGGAATTTTACAGTTATTGGAAAGTGTATCAAAAATCACTCAAACATCAATCTCTCTGTGAACCCCAATTTATTCCAGGTCTTCCAGTTAAAATTATGAAAAAGAAATACAAATATTTCCCCCAAGGTTATGAATCCAAAAATTTAAACAAAAAGTCTCCCAACTCTCATACATATGAGATCAAGATCTTGTTTGATTCAAGATGGTCTACTAAAAATCTAACACTTTACAGAAAATTCAACTTCCTAAATACAAATCTGAATATATGTCATGGCACTTTAATTTTATTTCAGAATCACATAGGAGTGGATGTTTTAGAGAATGCAAGGAAATCCTTCAATGAATGGTTATCAAAGGTCATATTCAAACCAGAAGATGAAAGCTTCCCCATTGTTGGAGAGGTGACAAAGGAAGATAATAAGTTTGAAGCTTCAAACTTTGGTCCAGTTCAAACTTACCTGATAGGATATTACTTTTCTGATGAAAACTATCCCTATAAGGCAGTTCAAGTATCACTTGCTCTCATTTTCTATTGGTATTCAAAATTTCATCCACATTATTTCTTCACAAATCAAGAAGATTACTGGAATGCCATGATTCAGATTTTGAAAAAATCACTCTGTAAAGGAGGAAGTTATTCTACTAGAAATTACCAGCCTGATGGAACTTTTAAGTGCTCTGATAACTATTTAAGGAGAATTATGCGTAGGATAAAATACTCAAAAGATTTCTACCAGGGAAAAACCCTGTTTGAATGGAAAAATGTCATATGAATGAAAGAAGAAATGGTGTTCTGAATTATTCTCTCTCAAGTAGAACTCAAAATTACCTCAAAAAGCAATATTAAATTGAGTACTGATTTGAGATCCACATCAAGATTTAGTAAAAACCATCAAACAAGTATTGTCAGCCACAGAGTACATGTCACAGTACCTTTCATGTAACAAGTAACTGCAACACCTGTACTTATGTACATAAGTACTTATCCATAATGTTGATTACCTTTACCTCTTGTTATCTTATTATTATCATTAACTTATCTTATCTTATTTATATTACATTTATCTTATCTGTTAATTACTTATCTATTAAATACATACCTGTGTTCTACATAAGTAATTATCACTTACCTTTCACTCCTTTGTCCGTGAAATACCTGTACCACAAGTCATCCCTGTTCTACAGTATTTTCATGGTCAAATATTATTACAAATAAATATGTACAAGTATTAAATAGTAAGTATTAAGTGTCAATAGAATTAATACATTCAATACATGCACTGATCACAATTATGACTACATTATTAGAGGATCTGTTAAGTACACGCATCAAGAGCTACTAGTACATTGATCAACTAGTACACAATTATGATGTCACTTACAGATCATGACAAATAATGATCAGTCACTCAATTGATGTGCTCATTCTCCTGACCAAAGCTCCCTTGATTCTGAGCGCTCATTCTTTCCCCCCTTCAGTATTCTGGAACTTATAATCCGTGCCTCTTTCACTGATTAATCCCCAGAATATTCAGACACCAGTTAAACCAGTTAACATTTATATTGATACAGTACACGTAACCAACATAAATCTTGTCTACTTTTATTGTTCTTAAGCTTCAGTACTCTTACTCAACTTATCCACAGTATTCATAGCCTTGCTGAATATTCCCATCAACAATACCTGTTAATCTTCAACTAATTTTGTTAAAGCTTAATAAGTATTGTTAGCCCATTCCCTTTTGGGAATAACCAAATCAATCCCAGGTGAGTCTTAGTACCCTGGATGCCTATTAATACCTTGTATTGATCCGGATGCACTGTTGATAGCAAGCCTCTCAGTAAAGACCATACTGATAGAGTGAAACCTCCTCTTTACAGGACTGGTATTAATCACCCACTACCTAACACTCACCACACTCAAAAAACTTCAGTCAACTCATAGTAACAACCTTTTTACTATTAAATACTCAGGTTAGTTACCCAGAGGCTGACAAGTATTCTGATAATTTTAGCCTTATGACACTTTACTTTGTTCACTATTTTTTCTTCTTTTTCTCCATTTTTTCAAACATGAGAATCACAAATAGTAGTGGGTAGGTCCTGCTACCTCTGTAAGTAGTGTGACAATAGATGAGATTTATTTGAGATGCTTTTTGAGTAATGGATACATTGCTACACTACCCAGAGCAACTTCTTTTATTTTTTTAGTAATATCAACATATCCAAAAACTCAACAGGTAGACATCTCCAAGATACCCAAGGAATTTCCCTTCATTCAATTTTCAGTTAGTTGTACTTAAAGTCCTGGATATTGAGGATATTGTTGTATATTCATTCCTTTTCTGGCTCTTTTAGGGTAACAAGCATCCATTTATGATACACAGTTCCCTGTTTTCTTCTTCTTTTGGTCAGTTGGCATTTTTTGATATCTAGTAAAAACAAATAGATACTGTATAGAAATCTGCCAGATGCTCAGCCAATAACAACACTTGGGCTTTTAATTGCACATTTGGAATCTAGAACTCTGGTAGTATTTTGGTAGGTATACCATTATTTTTCCCCTGCAAGCACTTGTATCAGTGGAGTGCTTTCAAAATTCACTCCACATAGGTTATCTTTGAGACATTGTGATACCATTAGTTCTTATCCTTCTTTGATCGGTTTGTTCAATTTAAGCATGGGAATGCAGTAGATTGTTTGTGTGATTTTGATAAATCTTTGGCTGTGTTTGGCAGCATTATAATGTGGGTGACATCCATGTGTTTTACCTCACATCCCATACATGTGACATCTGATCAGGCCTGCCCAAACTTCATCGTATGTCACAAGAATACACATTTACCTACATTTACTGAATTATATTACTGCCAAACAAGGTCTTTGATCATTACATAAAGTTGAAGTATACATAAACCAATGAAATTGTGTGCCACCATGTGATGGAATTGCACACTTGTACAAGGCAACACAAAAAAATCTATAGTGAAGCACCTGTGTGAGTTGGGTTATTCAATCTTGGATTTGAGCTGTAAAATTAAATTAACCAATCCAAATTATCAGGTGAAAGCTAGTATCCACATTGGTGTGTAGATTAGGCAGGATTAGCTGCCTAATCTAATCCTCCCAATCATGCTGGTTGGGATTAGATATTGGATTAAACTAGCTCCAGAGCCAAATCTGGAGCTGGCTGGTATCAAATTTATGCCTTGCTGATTCTTGGATTAGCAAGCTCAGTACTAATCCTCACTAAGAGCATTCAAATTTGTTGGCTAGATTTTCAGGTTAACTGTGAAACCTCACCACAGGTTTCACACACCAATCACAGAAAAGAATCAACTCGACAATACTTCAACTCAACTTACCCCACTCCCCCTCCTAGCTCAGCAGAGACTTAACATTATTTTCCTTACTGTTTGCTGAGCTAGGTAAGATTCTCATTTCTCTTCACTTTCCTTTTCATTATTCCTTTTCAATTATCATAAGATTGTATTTCACTAAAAAGAGAGACTTAACATTATTTTCCTTACTGTTTGCTGAGCTAGAATAAAAAATCATACCTTGGTTCTAGAAAAGTCTCCCTCAGCGCCCCATCTTCCGGTTCTTTTCATAAGAAGCTTAGTGAAGGGAATCACACCCTTACATTAACTAAACCTGGGGTCAGCCTACCAGGTTAATGTCCGCTAAATTTAGTGGAAGTAAGCCTGAAACAGGCTGAAAACAACTTTCAGGTTTGTTAACCTGAGACCAAATTGCCAATGCAACTGCCAGTCGGGTTAAGTTGCCATAATTTGGCAGTTTAACCCAACAAATGTGAATGCTCTAATCCGCTTAACTGATGTGGATGCTCTGAGTCTAATGGAATGCCCAAAAAACTGTGTAGACAACCATTAATCAGATTAAGGTTTCACTAATAGGCAAGGGTGACTTCCTGTCAAGTGTAGCATACCCTGTGGACAGCCCTTGCTGTTGAATCAGACACATTTTTTTTAAAAAAAATTGCAGGAAGATTTGATGTGAGAGACTCTAAAACCATTGTTGCATGGTCTGCAGAACTTGATGAAAAGTCCTCCTCATGACTTCTCCAGTTACAATCTCTGGACTGGAGGACTGTTTGTTTGTTTTACAGGCTCTGAAAAGCTATGATTACAGGCTGTAAAGCTAAATTTTTTTTGGGAAACCCACTTTACAGCCTGTAAAAACAGCTTTACAGGGGGCTGTATAAAATCAAATTGAAGTCCTCTATGTACTCATCCAAAAGCCCCTTGCATTGCGCAGACTCTCAGGCCCCGGGGCCCCACTCGGGAATGGAACCAAAGCTTGCCACCCCCGAGCCATTGGAGTTGCTCCTCCAACGGCCCTCTTTTTGATGAAGCCAAGTTCCACCATAGTTACAATCCACGATGAAGACAGTATGGCAACAACACCACCGGTCTTCACGAGCTCGCCGCAAGAAATAACTAGTTCCATGTCGCTGGAAAAGAGGAAAGAACATGGACCGCTACCAGGAGTCCAAGAGCATCCATCGGTCGACATGGCCCGCAGAATGTTCGAGCATCTAGACAGCATCCACCGACTTCAATCGGACATTGCCTCTCAACATCAAGCGCTAGAGAATGTGGAGCTCGGCGTGGATGCCCACTTCAAATCGAAACATACAGAGACCGGCCATCACGACTCGTCCTCCAACGTCAGACACGCACAGAACCATAGCGGAATCTCGGGACTCCAAGAACCTGGAACATCCTCCGAAAACGTCCGCCAACAATTCCTGAATAGACAGACTGCCGTTAACGGCCTCATGATCAAGGTGCGCCTCTCCTCTTCAGCATCGTCCCTCAATCAACACACATATGTACTGACCCCGTCCTCCCCTACACCAGCTTTCCGATCTATCCGTAGCCTTGAATGGGATCCACAACTTGGGCGTTGAGGACATGGGCGTTGATGACAACATCGGAAAACCATCCAACCAAACTTCGAAGTGAACCAAAGACACCCTTTGACTCGTCCTATATCTCTAATCACCTCCCTCGACCAAGTCTGCCGCTTTCTTCTCCGATTGTACTTTCTAAAACCAGTTTATCTCTTTTCTATTAATCTATGAAATCCGGTTCTGAGGCAGGATTTGTATATTTTGATCTTGGAAGGATGGTTTGTTCTGATCACGTCCTTGATTAGCTGAGGATGGCGATGAATTAACGGTTTGATGGACAATTTTCACAACTATCAACTTTGATTTTTCTCGTATTCAATCCGGACGTGTGCCGTGATCATCGATACAACCATCGATCCGGATTGAGATACAGCCTAGTCCTCTGGACGATTCCAAGCATAAAATTGTACCCAGTGATTGTGATATTTCAAACCTTTGATTCCTGTTGTTCCATGTTGGACTGTTGAAAGTGGCCAAATCAAGTATCATCTGTAAAACAGCTTCAGACTACTAGTGTGAACTGTTTTCAAAACCAGCATGTCATGGTGCACATTACTGAAAAATGAGTCAATAGCGGGGTTCACAATAAGCTTTTTGCTTGCCGAACCCGGCTCAAATTTTTGCTGAGCTTAATTGAAGCCTTAATTTAAGCTCAGAATCACAACTCAGGAACCTCTAAGGCTTCCTGACCTCAGGAAGCTTTGAGGGTTCCTGAGTGCAAATCAAGGCTTAAACTTCACACAATCTTTCCTCAATCTGTTAAATACTAGTGAACAGTGTGGCTGGTGCCACATTTATGAGACTGACAAAAAATTAGTATTCATAAAAGACAAAAAGGAAACTACCCAACCAAAATACTTTGTCAATTACAACTACTAGTATGATTTTTGAGCAGTGCTCTATTTACAATGCTGCAAGTTTTAGGCTCTGTGTCTTCTGAAATTAAACCAACACAAAGACTACTTTTTTGAGATTTTTTTGAAAATGTTTTGAATTTGATCACACAAAACATTGCTTACGATTTATCTCAAAAAGTTCTCAAATTGGCTCGGAGAGCCAATTTTTGTTTGATTTTTTTAAAATTTCAAACTTTTCTCATCTTTTGCAACGACCAAGAGGTCTGTGTATGGGTCTGTGTACAAGGATAAATGCTACAGAACCCTTGTGCTGAAAAACCAAATCAACATATGTATTCCAAACTCCCTCTTTATTCAATCCTGATACTCATTCTAGATCCTGCAAACTTAGCATCTGCTTTGGACTTTGGGTTTTGTTCAGGTAAATTATGGAATAAGGTGCCTGAAAATTTAAATGTGTAGATGACTTTTTGTCCTTGCAACTCATTGTCTGCTGTAGCCCCTAAGGATGCAAAGAAAAGCACATTATCTTATTTGGCACTGAAATTTGATTGAGGCTGAATCAAAAAAGAGCTATCGTGAAAAATGAAATGGAGAAAGAGTTCACAGACATGGATTGATTGAAACTAAGAGATATTACAACAAATGAGGGTAATTTTTCCACAAGGACACTTGCCATTTTTGGAAGCACATGGAATAAGAAGTGCGCAGAGCTTTTGTATTGATCCCAGTTCATTCACATTTCCAGTGAATCAATCCACAATCACTCCAGTTGTGAAACCAAAGTGCTAGCCTCAGTAGGACACAGATAAGGCAACTTGTTATTGGGTGATAGCCGCAATTGGTCTGCGGCGTCTTAAATAGGCATTTTAAAGCCTTACAACACAATACGGTTCATATCAATTTTGATGAGGTGCAGGCATGGAGGTGTAACTTTGAGGAGTGTTTGTGCTTAATTCCAGTGATGTGCAGAAAGTGAGGTGGAAAGTTTGAGGAGGCGTTGAAATTAATTCCAATGAAGTGACAGCAATGGCAAGTTTGATTCAAGGAGAAGAGTTTGATGCAGAGGGAAAACAAATTTAGGAAAGTAGAGGCAATGGAAAAGGACTGAGGTCTTGATGGAGAGGGAGAGGGGGAGTGATTTTGTAGGGTATAAGAAGAGACGGGGTAAGGTGCAATGTTGAGGGTAGAGGCTCCATGACCTAAGGTCTAATACAGTACCTCTCATACAACAAAATTATCATCAAAATTTCCAGTTTCAAGGGGATTAAGCTTAATTTTGTCTAAAGATTAAGGCAAGGTTTGAGCACTCCCAAATACTGAGTAGCTTGATTTTCTTCCTGACAAAATCCTATGGTGAACCCCGCTAATGTGAACTTGCTCAACTATCAACAGATCCTGGCAAGGATGCTTGCAAGAGCACTCAGACAAATTAAGAATGTACAAGCCTTCATTAGAGAAGAGTGATCATGCATATGCTCATCTAGATCTGAAATAAAAAGCATAGCTCTGTCCCCATTGAGGGTGTTGCACTCTGATGTGGGTGTAAATTTAATACCTTGCTTACTGATTTGAACTTTCATATTAACAGTTTAGGTTTAAGCAAACCGCTTCTGTCATAAATAAAAAAAAACAAAATCTATTCCTCCTCACGGCTATTGTCCCTGGATTGTATGATTGTGAGCCTGGGTCTCAATAGTGACAGCAGGACACAAAGTGTTGGGGGGCAATTTTATATGTATTTCTTAAGAGGAAAGAAATACAATAAAATCAGGAGAGAGGAAAGGAAGAGAAATAAAAGAAATGAATAATCTTTTTGTTGTTTGTTTGTTTTATGGAGATTATTTAGATTCTGACAGTCTTACTTCCTCTGAGGGTAGCTGTTATAAGCGGAGCTAACTCTACGCCTCCAAATCAAAGGAAACTGAAATGGGTACTTGACTTTGATAAATCAGGTCAACCACAATTTTTTAGATCAGGGATGATCAAGGTTCTTTAAAGGGAAACCTATGTAGTTTTCAGTTTTACTACCAAACAAGAAGAGAAGAGAATCTTTGAAGCTTATGGAGCTTTGGTTGATCAGGGCTTTTGGTTTAGAGAAGTAAGAGAAAAAGGTGAGAGAGACAGAGAAAGAAAACAAGCAGAAAGATGCTAGCTGGACTTAAAGAAGTAACTTACTGATGACACCAATGACACTGAGTAGTGGGAAAGGCAGGAAAAGTAAGGTTCTTCTGGTTGATAAGTGTAGGCTGGATCTGGTACTGGTTGTTGTGGTTTCAGGGTGGTCTGGAGTCTGAAAATCCTCTGGAAGCGGAATCAACAAGCCCAGAGAGGACTTTCAAAGTTGGATTATGTAATCTGGCATGTACATGTGGTAGAGGGAGCTGAAACCTAAGGTTGGAATAATTCTTGGAGTACTGTGAATTATTACAAAGTCAATGAAGGAATGGAGTTGGGTAAAAGTGGTCAGTGGTGACTAGGGTTAATTTTACACCAGGAATCCATTTCTGAATTCAGAAAGGTTAAAAGTCTTAAGATAAAAAAGATATGATAATATTTTGAATAGAAATGGGCAGTTTTGGCAGTCTTTTGGTCAACTTGGTTGGCTCTAAGGCTGACAATGATCTAAGTGATGCCACCTAACAAGAGTCATACAATGGCTTTTACACCTTTCCATTAGCTCTTCTTTTATACTCATCCCTTATCTCTTTGTACGCACTTCACAACTTTTCATGACCTGCACCTCCATCTATACATTCAACAATCACCACACCTTTCCTATTTCACCTAACAATAAAATTCCTTTTCCATCACACTTTCCTTCTGCCTTTACGCCTTGTCATGCATTTTCCCTCAACTCATCCGCAATTTACCTTCACTGTATTCCACCCCCACCTAATAATTTTCAATTCATAATCACCCATCAATCATATGACTTTACTCTTTCTTAATTCATCCCTCCTGCTAAAGATAACTTTCTGCAAAGATTATCACATTTTCATCTTGAAATGGAAATACTATTCACTGCCTGTTCCAATTTAAGAAATGCTGTTCACTTTGGACGTCTCCCAGCAACTTGACCTCCCAGAAATTTACCAAGACCAGATTGAAGATACTTTCCCAAACCAACAGTGAGCACGCTGGGCTTTGAGAAAGAGCATTACATCCCCCACCGATTCCTCAGTCAACAGCACAAACCAAAGGACCACCTTCCATAATTGTAAGTTTCACATGATGCTAACTCTTGATGACAGTTGTTGTTAGGTGAAATAGGAAAGGTGTGGTGATTGTTGAATGTAAATTTCTATGTCCATCTGGTTTTGGAGTTCAACAAAATGGGTCCTCATGCGGTTGGAGGTCTTGATGGGAAGTGTGGTGGTAAAATGAAAGATTTAAATGTGATAGGAGTGCATGAACGGTGTTTAGAGGGAAATGGGTGGACTGTAGCACAGGCAGATGAATTGGAAGGGTGATGGGGTACAATGGATTGAGGAAGGGTTTTTGGGGAAAATTTTAACTTAGAACAATTGATGGTGAACAGGGTGGCGCAGCCGCCCCTAAAACCTACACCACGGGTTCTGGTGGACAAGTGCTTGACGGAAGCGGTTCCGTCAGCTTGACCCATGCCGCTCCGACCAAAATTTTGGGGTGCTTCATAGCAGGGGGCGTAATACCCCGCGGTCGGCTTGACCCTTCAACGTTGGCTTGCCAGCGGTTGCCTCGCAAGCTTGCGGCGGCTTGACGGCATTTTTTCATCATGACAGTGGCTGCTCAGCAGCGCGCTGTAGAACAAAAAAAATCAGCTTGGGGCTTGAACACCCAACCTAGGCTCACAGCACCTTAAGCTCACTGCATGGTTGCATGCTGATAACTGAAGAGCTTATCCAACTATGCCAATGATATCATACCAATCTGCCTTGGTTTTGCATATAAATAGATAGAAAATTTCAAATTGCATATAGAATTTTTGTCTTCAAGTTTTTTTTCTCCAAGTTTTTTTTTTTTTTTTTTTTTTTTTTTTTTTTTCTCGAGGTGGCCACAAGCTTTTGGGCATGAAAAGGGTGTAGAAAAAATGTCAAAAAAAAGTTTTTTTTCTTCATTTTCAGACATGGGGTCAAGCCGACAGTGGGAATTTTTGACCCTGAGGTCAAGCCAACGTTGGAATTACAGCTTTCCTACCCAAAATTGACGTTGGCCAGACCAATCAGGCGGGATTGCGTAAAAGGGGTTGAGCCCAACCAGTGCTTGACCACGGGGTCAAGCCGACGGAGTGCCATTTCCAAAACTCAGCCTGTGGTGTAGTAATATTTAGTTTGAGTACACCAAGATTTGACCACTTCAATTGGGGGCTTCAGACCAAGGGGAAAGCTAGAAGTCCCATTAGACATGGCCATTGGCAGGTAAGGACTTCCAAAATCAGTTTCTTTGGATCCATTCATGTGGTGCGCAACAGTGCACAACTGTCTTTGTTAGATCTGATATGTATGTAGCCCTCAGGAATATTTTCATAATGGTTCAATAGACACCATGATAGGATGATAACATAGAGATTTTGCTTCATACCCGGGTACCTGTAGCGGGTGCGGGTACCTGCCTCAAAAACCAAATATTTTGGACACCCGCA